GCGCACTGCAGCTGGGGCTCTCTGCAGTGCCATGCAACTTTCTAAATTCTTCCATCTCTTCCAAAAGAATCAGGTCGAAACGAAATTTGCTGGATTGGCATGACATAAAAATAAATAAAGGAAAAACCCAGTTCAATTAATATAGTTCATCAAATAAATAAATTGTATTTCTATATCTTGGATATACAATAATATTATCTAATATTGTTAACTTCTTTCATTACGACTCCTTCTCGCAACATACGAACAGCAGCCATCCTGTGCAACTTGGCAGTTTGCACCTTCCTTTCAAATGTATAAATACATCCTATTACTTTGCACAATAAAAATTCCCCAAATTACATATTCATTAAGGCAAAAGTACTAAATAAACAACAGTGCAATCTTTTCACTTTTGAAAGATGTCATTCTGCATGCATACCGCAGAGATCACTTACATGTTAATTTGCTATGATATCAAGTGTGCAGACGTTTTTACTCATGCAAACCTTTAGAAATCTCGTATCACATTTTTGGTAACTGCAGAATCTTTCAAAATGATTGATAGTTTGTTTATAGAAAAATGGGACAATCCCAGTGAAATCTCATGGCAAATCTATTGTTTTCAGACCAGTCGCGTCAGTGCAGCTGTCTGCTATTTTGTCTTCTATTTTTTTATTTTTAAATACTACCACTGGGGGACACCACTGTTGGCACATAGTAGCTTTAAGTCCATTTCACTTACAAAATACTTAAATTTTATATATATTTTCTAGACAAGTATATATTAAATAAATGTATAAATATATTTTGTAGAATAATCGAAATTGATGTAGTTTGTCATGCAGATTAAGTGTGTAAACAAAACAGAATAGATTAATTATTTGTGTAGGTATGTGTCGGCAAGAGCAGCCTTGACCTGATGATGTCTCTTTAAATTAGCTCCAGACTTGTCAAGAAGGATTAAGAGTAAGCTCTGGCCCTCCCGGTCTCCTCCCCAACTGCAGTCAGATAAAGCAGAATCTCTGAATGTTGTGTTTAGCCAGCAATTAGCATTTGGACATCGAAATTGCTCCAACATGCCAGATTTGCCTTTGTCAGTTGCAAGTTTTACAGAAACACGAACCTCACAGGTGTTGTGCAGTGCGATAGTGTTCGTCCCTCCCATTTATTTCCGAAGTGTATTCATCCATGGCACGCTTGCTGTCTCCCATAGGGGACATACTTAATCACCACCTGAAATAACACACAAACAAAGTTAACACATCTGATCAGTTGTTTTCTGTGAACAAACATTCACATGAAGGTCATCGTCTCTCTGTGTCCAGGTTACTCACACAGTGGTCTGGTTTTTCTCCAGGCTTTCACACACGGTTTGACTCACCATGTCATCCACCACGTTGCTCTTGGAGATCTCTTTGGAGCGGAACTGCTCCGGAGCAGACAGGTTCTTGCCATCGTTGTTGCCGAGGTGATTGTAGCTGACAATGGAGGCCGGCTGTCGAGGAGGAGAGGAACTCAATGTTTAGAATTAAAGGCACTGGAAGTTTGTAGTTTTCATCTTATTTTTTATATCGTGTGGTAGGATGATTACAATGTTACTCTTCCTGAGTTTTCCTTAAATAATCCATGTGTCTACGTATAGAGGTTGTTGTATGCTGTACAATTGTAAAGTCTTTTGAGCCTGTATAAATAAAAGTGACTTGACTTAAGTTGTTAAATATTTCCCACTTGAAGAGTTCAAGTGTAACACAGTAGTTTGTGGGACCAGTTTCATTTCTTACCCTGAAAATGATAAAAGCACCATGTTTGAGGTCTGAGGTCAGATCTTCTCTGACATGCTGATGAGTTTAATTCTCACATTAATTCTGGTCTTAGACAGGAAGCATCATTCTCAAATCATTCCCTACATTCTAGTGTTCTTAGCTTTTCTTGTATATAACCATATTGACTCAGTAGTAAGTATCAGATCTTATATCTTTACCAATTACCTTCCTTCAAGCAGTGCATCCTTTCTCTCACCTTGATACCTGAGCTGACCAGAAAGTCCACCAGCACAGACTTGATCTTGGTCTGACCGGATTTGAAGTCGTCTCCTCCAATGAACACCCCTTTCTGCACAGCCAGCTCTATGGCTCCTGGTACAAACGTGTTCTGTGGGGAGCCGTTGATGAAGGCACAGTCCTCCAGTATGCTGGCCACTGCAAACAGAGTGGATGGAGAAACCTCGTGTCCAGCCTAATGGATTTGGGGTGGGGTGGGGGGGGGAGGGGTGGGGGGCTGTTACTGAGTGTATCATCATATTACTGAAGAAAGCTCAACTCTCAAGGTTACATTTCCCCTGAGACTCTTCTCACATTGCCTCTGTAGCATAACTCTATTGTCGACTTCTTGCTTAAATTGAGCTATTCGCTGAAGATCATAAGTCTGTGAAATTGACTATTATCATTGATGACATCAATCACCCATGGACAAATCATAATTTCCCCCGATCTGATATAAAAGTAATAGCTGACTGTTTCAAACTCATTACAGCATTTCATCTACAAATCTACAATAAAGTTAATATTTTCTTCCTCTAAGCTTTATTAAATCACTAAACAGTTTGGTCCTCAGCATTAGAAGGAAATTAAAGTTGATCGGATGATTCATGACAACTGGCCACCAACAGAATTTCGAGGACTTAAAGCCTTTCATACTTCATCTCTATTGAAACCAACTTATGGATTTGCTTTTAGATCTTGCACTTCATGTTTAAGAATCTGAATTCTGAATGATCTCTTCATGGCCTGCTCTCACCTGGATTGTAGTTAGCAGGTTCTTTGCGCTGTCATTGACCCCCGGTATGATATCACAGAAGCGCTCAGTGTTGGCGGTCCACAGAACAATGACTTTGTCCACACCGCTCGACTGACGGAAATCCCTTATGTCAGCTCTGATCTGCTCCACCTGGAAGACCATTTACTCTTTAAGCATTTCTTTTAAAAATGACATCCGAAACAATACAATCTAAGGTGGAATAGACCGAGCATTACCTGCCCTGCCATGGTCCCGGTGAGGACGTTGTCTGCCCGATTCTCTTGGTTTGCAGCAATGAATTCTGGGATATAGATGGACGGTCTGGGTTTCATGCGGCTCATATATGGCCGCAGCTGCTCTTGTAATGACCAGTCAAGTACCTGAGCTCTCTCCATCGCACTGCCAAGATCCATTGAGGAGATATCCCAGCCTTAAAAGACAAACCACTTCAAGGTAAAAAAAAAAAGTGCTGGATTCTTTAGATAGCTCACATTTTCCAGAACTAAAAGGAGCAAACGCTGACCTCTGCAAATTGCATTAGTGGACATAATAGGAGCACATATGTGGCCACCTCCACCTTGTGAAGGGGCTCTCTGGCCCCTGAAGCTGTCAGGGGGTCAGATTTTCCTGCGGTTACCTGACTTGACCGCACACACATACACATTTGTACGTGTACACATCTGTGTCAGGTCTGAGCTTGAGCAGACTATTGTCCATACCGTCAAAGACAATATCATTAGGGTGCACCATGGGTAGAAGGTCACGAAAGGGCACGCTGACTTCGCCCTCGGGCCCTGATCCAACACAAACAGTAGAACTCTGCAGGAGGGAGCCGAAGTAGTTTGCTTTCTGTGAGAATGTAGGAGAGAGAGATGATAAGTGAGAAAAACACTGATTTCAGTCCCTCTAAGGAGGAATACATTTTTACCAGCTTTTAAAAGGTTTTACAAGTGTGTTAAATCCTATGAACCGAGACAAATGGCCAAAATGGGAATCACAAGGACAAGCTCGGAGGCAAAAATGTATGCCCATATAAGGGGAAATTCCCAAGACTACATCAGTTAAACCCTTAACGCTCTACTGAACATGTCAACATAACCAGCTTATAAGTCTCTACCAATCCACTGTGTGAATCCACTGAGAGACACCAGTGTGTCCCTGAGCTTAGCTTGACACTTAACCCCTAGTTGCTCCAGAGGCGTGCGACCTCTGACACAAATAGCAATTGTAAGTCGCTTTGGATAAAACAGTCAGCTAAATGAATAAATGTACCACAGGATAGGGTGTGCATACAATAGGCTGTATTAATAAAATCTGACAAGAAGGTTCTCTATAAGCTTGCTCATGGAAGCTTCAGGTTTTCACATCCTATAAAGTTATAAAGCTGACCAGTAGATTTCAGCGTTTTACTTCATCCAGGCAGCCAGTAGCTTGCATTCATTTCAGTACAGTACGAAAACTGCAGGAAGTTGCTTGAGATAGTTAATCCACACCACGAACATCAAAGTTACATAATCAAAGTTAGATTTGTTATCGTCAGAGTGAAGGGATTTATATATGAATTAACAAATCTGTCTCAAATACGACAAATTTCAGTCTTTGCTAAATGCTCTTCTGCGTTTTACTGAAGTGAATGTAAACCAGCAGCTTGATTCACTGTCCACAGAGTATGTGTACAGGCATGTTTGACTCACTCCACTCACCTTCACTCCATTCTTGGTTCTCCAGGTGAGACCCAGCTTGTTGGCTAGTACGGCTGCTGTGACTGTCGTCCCATTGTTGCCTCCCCAGCCCACCAGCATCACACCCAGGCGGGGCACACGCCGCTCTGTGCGAAACGTCATCTCAGTGGTCCGGGGGGTCAACTGTTTCACATATGGAGCAAAATTAGAGAGGAGACTAAACAGATGACACATACAGATGCATGTATGGACTAAAAAAAATGTAAGAGGGGTCCACTTACCGTTATGTTGTTGCCCTCTCTGTGCGCTGACGTGGTCTGGTAGTGATACTGCGCCACAATGTGTGCATCTGTGTACCTCACATTAGGGCTGTTGATCTGAATGTTCACAGACATGGCTGCAGAATCTGCAAATACATTGGTATGAAAAAAGAAAAAGAATTTACCCAAATTATTTCTCTGTAGGTGGAAATGTATGGCATTTAATTAGTCTTAAAATATGCTACACAGGTTGACAGCAGTGGCATATATGATCCATGTTGTTTACAATTACTAAGAAAAAAACGTAGACCCAATGCATAACTTAGTTAATGTCAGTGCTAGCAACTGCCTGTCTTCAATTCTGTCAGTGATCAAACCAAACAGCCAATCAAAGATGATGGTCAGTATTCAAAGTGACCAATCAAAGGAGCGGATCTGTCTATGCCATCCTCACCAAAGTCTCAAAAGTCAACTTGACGATCCTGAGCACTTGCGAGCGTGTAGGGAGGACAGAATTTGTGCACATGGAGCAGAAATACTCCCTCATGAGGATGGTTTTCTATGGGGTGTGACATAGAACTGGATTACTTAGCTAACTGATGTATTTATGTAAGCCAGCACCTGATGAAAAAATCTTTCAATTGCAATTGTGTTGAAGGCAAGGGTGTAGAATTTGGTATGGACGGTAGGGGCGTAAACATGGATGACGCACTTCCTCTCGTACAAAAGGCTATGTTAACTTTCACTTATTTTACCATAGCAGTCCACAAAAATCTGCTTCTGGACAAATCTGAGATGAGAAATAAGCAATCCAGTTGCCGAATCTTGTATCTGCAAGGCCTAATTTAAAAGTTTGTTCCAACTTTCGGCACTACTGCACTGCTAGCTAACATTAGCTTGCGGTTTACTGCATACAACCCATGTTGCTCATTAGCCGCCAGCGTCTAGTTTACAACAAATGTTGTTCTAATAAACATACGTGTGACCAGCAACTTACTATATAAATAAGATGCCATTGTCATTTTCCTGATCTGTATTATTAATAATAATAATAATAATATCTATTATTATATACTGTTAGATATAATGCCAGTTAGTATGTCCGTAGTGTGGCCATTTAGTTATGCGATAGCTCATCAATTGTGTATGTATTTCTAGATCATATTAAGATTTTAAAGCTGGGGTATGCAAATTATTATTAAATTATTCAGAATCATTTTTGCTCTGACACAAAATGAAAAAACATCCTGTATCAGTGGTGCAGAACTGTAAAAAGCAGTGCACCCTGCCCATGAAAATGTGTTTTGGGGGAGTGGCTTTTGATGGAGGTTTTATTTTACATTAGGCTACATCCACCAAAAGCAGCTATGCCCACTTAGGGCTGGGCAATAAAATAACACATCGCAACATCATTTTCAACAACAATATAATAAATGTTCAATATCGTCAATAAATATTTGCTTTGATTCATTTGAATCACAACAAATTAGCACCTTTTCTATTAAAATATTTATTTAGTTGAAAAAAAAAAAAAGAGGGCTGAAATAGATTAACTAATCATATTTGTTGAAAAAGATAGTAGTTTTAAATGTTCTAACTCAGACTTGTGAAGTGAGCCACTGTTTGGCATCAAGTGTTTGTCACATTCTGACCATAAAGAAAAGTTTAACTACATATTAACCATCTGGTTTCTTCAATTTTCACTCAGGAGCAAAAATCAGCCTTTAAACTTGAAAGAAATAATCATTTGACATTTATCGTGATAATTATCGATATCGAATGATATGAATGTTTTTATCGGGATAACATTTTTGGCTCACCAATGACTCCTTGGTTTAGCTTCTGTATACAGCTGTACTGTTTAAGCGTTTTGGACTTGGAGTGTTGCTGTACCTGGCTTGGGTCTCGGGGCATTTGGAGAACGTGATCCTGTGTGTAATGTGTAATTTGTGATGTGTCAGCGGGATTCACAGAATCCTCACGCTGACTACTAACTTTCATGTGAATAAAAGTGATTCACCTTCACAACAGCTGAGTGAAACAAAAGCTTCCTACTGTTTAGGACCAAATTATTTAGAAATATTATGGGGAAACTCTCAGTTATGGAAAACACAGCTCTTTACAAAACTGCATAGTTTTTGCCCTGAAATACAGGATATCAACAAACTGGGGACAGCTGTAGATGGCTTGCCATTTCAGAGCTTCGGCCTATTATATGTAAGTTTTAAGCTAGCATTGCATAAAAATGTAGTGTGACCTCTGATATTACTATGCCTCTTATCTTCACTCAAACGAAGCCTGTTGATGAAACCTCACTCCAAGAGATGTAACATTATGTTTTATTGGTTTAAAAAAAAAAAAAACTATATTGACGTAGAGGTCAGCTTGCTATAAGCAAAGCAACCATGGTAGTAAGCTATAACGTTGCTGCGTTATTAGGTGATAACTTGCAACATGAAGTCGCTACAGAGTACTACACGTCGCAAACAAGGAGTGTTTCACATCATAGCAAGTGCGCCACGATCCACGCGATTGGCTGCTTGTTGCAAGCGTTGTCATCTTTCACGCCCCATAGCCTACCATAATATAACTGTATAAAAAAACCTATTACCTACACCTCGTTGTTTTGCATTCGCGGATAATGTTGTGGAGGGTATCGCATCGCATTGCACAAGCCTGATTTTTTAAGTGCGTGGGTTTGGGATTAAATTGAACGCCATAGAAAATGCACTTTGGGTAAACGCTGCGTTTCGTCAACACGTCATTTCTAATTTAAGCAGCAGGAAGGGGCAAGTTATGGCTAGTCTTACATTCCTCCCAATTGACCAAACTGTACAATTCTTGTTAGCAATTCCTCTCAGACCACGTTGAGCTATTTCTGTCAATTAAAAACGGAGAAACAGATATGCAAATAAATGAATACACGCATGAACCAAAATTAAACCCGGAAATTCTCTTACCTTGTGCACTTAAAAGAGGTAACTGTGTAGATATCTGTAAGTGACTTCTCTTAGATGAAGCGCTTCTCGCAGGCAGCTCTTCGGCTGTGTGAATGGAAGTTTCCAGTCCTTTTCGTCTAAAAGGCGCTTTTATTTATCCTCCCTGTTCGACGTAATCGGCGCACATGTGCCAATCAGACTGCTCTGTCTCTCTTATGCAACCCTGAGGTTTCAGCACCGCGTGGCGACTGCAGCGAATGAATGGGTATGTGGCTTGTACACAGTCGGATTATGGGCGGGACGATCCTGCCGAAATACTCCATCGAATATTCTAGTATATGAGTTTCATATGCACGTGTTTGGCTGTCTTGCCTTTCCAGAAAGATACAATGTCTGTAAGGGGTTTCTCAATACCCAGAACAATAAAATAAGGATTTCTGTGACACCAGGGACACCATGTTATCCTGGGCCCTGGGTCAGTCTGCTGGAATAAGTGGTGTTGTTGGGATCTTGAAACGTTGGTGGCTTTTACACCTCCATTTAACTCTCCCTGCCCCCCTTCTCTACATCATTGAGCTACATTTTAAACTTAAGTTACTAAAGTTACACTTTAAACACTTCATTTCCTGTATTCTTGTTAAATGTCCAACTAATAACCAATTTCTGCCATTTCCACATAAAGGGGAACTCAAATTCAGGTGGCAGGTGACAATTCAAAATATAAAAATGTAATGAATTATAATGGGATGTGATGTGGGAGATTTTAACACGAATGAAAGGTGTTGGACCAGAAGCACGAAGAGTCCGAGATTGACGATGGTGACCTGATGCAGCCAGAACAGTTTGGAGCTCAACGCTCTGAAGAGTGTAGTGGAGATGGTCATGAACTTCAGAACTAGCCCAGCCCCACCCTCCCTCATCTTCCTGTGTGACTCCCAATAAAAGCTTTTCTGATTCTGAGTTATTTTCTGATTTTTAAGAAATCCTCAATGCTGAATTATATATTATACATCTAATCAAATATGTATTCATCTATGTATTCACCACCGCCCATCTAGCATTAGACCAAGACCGGTCTCGAGTACTACTAACTAACTATGACCTGGATGACTGAGAATCAGTCTATGAATACATGCAATCATAGACGTCTTGAGTACAACAACACTACAAGGCACCCGCCCCAAAGTCAGAGCAGGTGGATGATGCATTAAAGCTGCAGTAGGTAACTAACTTTTTGTCATATTTCCTAAAACTGTCACTATATCCTGACAGTAGTACATGAAAAAGATACAATCTAAAAAGTTTTCAAAGGGCAACTGGCTCCTGCTTGTGGTTTTGGAGGGCGGTGTTTAGTGAGTGATATGTGCAGCAGAGAGTGATGCCGAAGGTTTTGCATTGTCAATTTTTACCGAATGCTGCTTTAAAGTCGGGAATGATTGCATGTAGGGCTGCAGCTATCGATTATTTGAGTATTCTACATTTTATTACATAGATTCATCAGGTAAGAAATGGTTTTGCCTGATGACCCCGGTAGGCTACCGGGATTCAGCTGTGTATCTCTCTGTACAGCAAGTTTACACACAACTTAGAATTGTGTCTTACCCTTGCTAGCCTTCATCTCAACTAGCAATCATTATTCCACATGTGATCTGCAATAGATTGCTGTAACCACCAATGATAACGTGATTGTTTCATGTCCGCTCCGTGTACACTGTTATTGTTTTCTTTTAGCTTGAAATGATCACATAGGCTACTTTGGACACTTTCTGTCTTTTTCTCTGGCCTGTCTCTTCTTCCTCCCTGACAATTTGTGCCATCACATCACGTGGTCTGCATAAGTAATCGTAACAGTAATCGTCCATGGAAAACAGTGAGCTGTATATAGTATATGGAATAAACGAAGCATCAAAGCAAAGAATTTTCATCAATGCTTTTGAGTCGTTTCAGCCCGAATAGCATGTAATATGATTGAATTTTGGTGGTGGGGCTATTTTTGATTAAATACAGGCCCAAATAGGAAGAGCATTTGCCACATGTGATACAAATTTTAACTGTAGGTAATACATATTGGATTTTTTTAAACAGCCTCTTTAGGATGTGTGACTGTTTATAACATTTATCACCGAAGAACAAACTTATGCAAATCTTACTACCTTGAAGCCTCGATGGATGTTGACCTAGGATGTAGGGTTACTGTTATGTGCCAAACAGGTTGGACCGTCCACTCAAGAGAAAATAAGGTACAAAAAGTTAGAATTTTTTGGTTAGTTTTAAATCTCCCCCTGTAGGAAGACCTGGTATGTGACAGGTGATGTGAGTGATGCCTTATACAACAAAAGAGCAATGTCACTTTTGAGCATGGGCTGTCAACAGTTCTGTCACTGTTATTTCATATTCCTACTTATGGACGCTATGCAATGTAGCAGCAGAATTTATTTTTGGAGATGATAAAAAAAGTACAAATATCAAAAAGCAAAACTATGTAGATATTATGTAAATAAAAAATAGTGATATGGTTGATATAATATGTCAGTGGGTGCATCTCTGAAGCTAGATTGTTGCAGTTATTGTTTTTATAGTCCCGGAGGTTGCCGCTTGGGAAATCCTCATCTCCAGTTGAAATTACGTACACCTTCATGTGTCCTCTGTATGCAGGTGTCTACGTGAGGAATGATAAATGAGGAATGATACTGTATAAGAGAGAAGCCCTGTACACCTAACAGGAAGAGCATTTGCCACATGTGATACAAATTTGCTTTCAGCTGTAGGTAATCTTGATTGGATTTGTTTCTCCCAAAAGCCCCTTTAGGATGTGTGATTATTAATAACATTTACCCCAGAAAAACAAACAAACTGCAAATCTTACTACCCTGAAAGGTTGAAGGATGTTGACTTAGTCAGGGACTCAGGACTCTGCTAGTGGAATCGGGTTGCTGGATTACTGTTATGTAGCCTACCAAACAGGTTGGACCGTCCACTCAAGAGAAACTGTGGTACAACAAGTTTTACTTTTTAGGTTAGTTTTAAATGTCCCCATGTTGGAAGACCTGGTATGTGACAGGTGATGTGAGTGATGCTGTGTACAACACAAAGGCAGTCACGTTTGAAAATAATGGATAGTGAACTATGAACTATATGAACTAAGTGGCTGATACTAACTCATGTGCATGTTTAGCTCATTTGGTAGAGTGCAAGCCTCCCGTTTGGAGAGTTGTGTGATTGATCCCATCATCTAGCAGACTTTCCTTTTTCTCTCCCTTGTTTAACAAATTGATTATAAGGATACTTTTGCACATGCTCACAATAAAGCATGTCCTGCAGTGTGTGTGCGCGTCCCGGCGTTTGATCCGCATCGATAAACCTATGGACGCTTGTTTTCATTTCCCTGAGAAAATTCAAGAGAATCCAATCATGCGTTTACTGACGGCTTTCTCAGAGTTGTGTCAAGCAAGCCAGAGACTCTTTTGAATGTCCTTCAGAACTGTTCAAATAAAAGCTATCAATAAACTCAACATGAAGCATTGCTGCAAAAAATGTTCTTGCACTTTATTTTGTGGGCACAATCACTTAAGAGGATGTGATTATGTCAGTAACTGTTGCTGTAATGACTGAGTTCTGTTTCAGCACCAGCCACTATCAGTTTATCTATTTTAAATTTTTCTGCAATTAAAGCACTTTGGCTGTGGGCCAGATATTATTGCTGGTGGGCCAGTTCTGGCCTGCGGGCAGTCTATTGCCGACCACTGACATATGATATACGTCCATGAGTGTAGCTCTGTAGCTGAATTGTTTCAGTTGTTGGTCACGGGCAACTGAATTTATCAGGCTATATTTTTTTCTCCATGTGCAATATACAGTATGCCTAATATATACTGCCATTTGTTCCTTTTCAAGACCTGAGTTACAAACCCAACACTTTTATTTTCCATTATTTGACTACGTTATTAGTGGTTACAGCAATCTATTGCAAATCACATGTGGAATCTTCGTTAATACTATAATATTATCGTATACTTGTCACTGTTCATAGGTCCATACATTTCCTATTTGTCCTTTGTTATGTAGTGTGAAGACTCCATGTATACACAGTGTTTGGAAGGAAAGCAGTTGAACCAGAAGCACGTGACACTAACCAGACAACTGAACTGACAGTGTGGAAGATGACTACTACATTCCTTCAGGGTTAAAACATTAGTACTTGACCTCTTGACATGTCATGAGGCAATGTAGGCAAACAAACAATATCCCTCACCTATCAATTTTTTGAAAAGGAGAAAAGGTGGAGATGGCATAGATATGCCTCCTAGTGAAAATATATGATATATTTGCTAAAAACACTACCATAGACTTCCTTTTGCTTAGTATGACATCAGTATTTCTGTTAACATAGGCAAAAGAAGGTACATTTTTTCCGGTTTGATCAGTTCAACAGGTTCAACTAAAGCTAAGGTTACAACTAAAAGTTTTGTTTTCTATTAATGAGGGTTTACTCCAACTGACTGACTGCCCAAACCCCAAACCTATAAAAGGTTTAGAAGATCGTTTAATGACTTACAGCACTTACATGAAGTTGGGAGAGATGTTTAGTCCCAAAACACTGGACCCCAATACAATAGTATCATTGCAGAACTGGTCGTGTGAGGGCTAAGAGTACTTGCAATGACAATGTAATAATATTCACAAAATTTTCAAAGTTGATTAATCTTAGATTTATTTTCTTGATAACTGATTAATCTTTTGGTGTATGAAATGTTGTATTCACATTGGGTTGTGGACTGAAGATGTTCAAGATAGCCTACTATGACATAAGATGAAGAAAAGCAGATCCTTATATTTGAGAAGCTGGAAAATGAGAATATTTAGTAAATGATTGATCAATTATGAACAGTTTGCCTTTAACAAAGCTAAACCACTAATAGACTAATAATGTCAGCTCTAATCAATTATTGAAATAAGTTGCTTCTTTTAAATTTGCGTTTTGTCACCATAATTTTCTCGCATTCATTACTTTCCACAACTTTTCACAGTTTTATATAATTCTGACACTGAATATCAAGGTTTATTATTATTTATTTATTTTATTTTATTTATATATTATTATTATTTATTACTATACAACACAAGGTTGTTCATGAAATTAGAACATTATTGGCAGTTT